GTTTGGCAGCTGTTTCCATCATGTTCATTCTGTTACTTGTCTTTTTTGTGTGTAAACTGAGGAACAACAGAACCAGTAAGTCACAGATTCATTAGAGTCAAGTTATTTTTACAGGTTGGAGATAGTGATATGAACTGTACCATCGTGTAAATGACATTTATTTGTTGTTTACTTTATATCCAATCAATGAAACCGTCACGTGTCTTAGCTGAGTTTAGACTGAAATGTCTCTGTGCTGTGATACATTATAAAATGCACTTTAATGTGTTAAACAGTTTAACTCTGCTGCCTTTGTTTGACACAGAGACCAAGAGAAGCCCCTCAGATGAACGTGATACAGGAGGAAGGGAGAATCCCTCTGGAGAAGAAATGAAGCCTTTGAAGGGAGAAGAGGAAAAGAAGAGCAAACATGTGAGTTAACAAACAGGACACTTTCAGTGGAGGGAGAAAAAACAAGAGCAGGAAAATTAAAATTAAAGAGGTATGTTTTTACAAAATGGCGAGGCTCGTCCTGGACTCAGCACCTTGATTGAACAGACAAACCCAAACAGCAGATCCATCAGGTCTGCACTGAGAGGGGACTGTAGTCACTTACAGGTCCACCTCCTTCAGCCAATCATACTTTTCTGTCAGAGCTTCTAAACTATCAAACACTGTCCCATCTGAGATAAGAAACTGTCTCACCTCTCACAGCTTCACACCAAGACTCAAGACGCTCATCTAAACACTGTTGTTGATATATCTGGCTGCTAACATGCTGCTAACTTGCTTTATGTCCTCTGCCCGTTGCCAGGCAACCGACTCTGCATGGGTATGTATGAAATATGTTTTCCTATCAGCATGGCTAACTGTGTGTTGCATGGCTTGTGTGTTAGTGCACGAGACCATACTGCGAACATGTAACTGCATCTGTTAACACTGTGTTAAGAACCACATGATGGCTAATGTGTTTTATCTAGGTTTACTCTTTATTGCTGCTCTGTATGTAATGCTTAGCTGTGTGCTGGTGTTTCATGTTGCATGTCTGTGTGTACACTCACACTCACACTCACACTCACATGCACACACTAATCAAATTGAGGAAATGCTTGATAAATTAAAAATTTTAATAGATAAGAAGTAACTAAAGGGATAACAGCCCAAAGTAGACAGATATGTTATACAGGATGAACACACCAGGAGAGGTTCATCTTCTTATCTAATTGTCCCATTTTTCTTACTTGACATCATCCTGATTAACGTACAAAGAAATCACATCAAACACAAATAATAACCTTCAGTCATTTGTGAATGAATTTGTATAACTTTGCGTATCTTCCATCAACACACTGATTTGTTTCCAGCCATCCACCTGTTTCTTCCCCTGAAAACATTTTCACAATGTGTTTTTCTCTTCTCATGTTTTGGCTGTATTATTGATTCCTGTCAAAGCCTCAAATTGTTTATTTTATTTAGGTCCTGTATGTTGTTCTTCATTCACATTATAGTCAGTAGAGTCCAGACTGAGAGCACAATGACCACAACACAAACATGCTCCACAAACCACATTACCATATGTATGACTATGTTGTATAATCACTCCTATGGTTAAAAACAGAGC